GAACAGGGGGGCTGGTTTGCCAGCCCCCAGCTCATCCCCATCATTGCAGAGCTGCACAGCCTCCCCTTCACCCCCTGTCCCCAGTTCTGCTCCTCCCTCAGCAGCAGCTGCTCAACCCCACATCTCTGTTCTGCACATGCAAAACAGGGCTCCTCGGGCTTGGCCTTTTATGGGTGTTTTGAAGGTCAGGTGAAATGGGGAAAAACCCCTGAGGATGTTAGTGCCTTTTCAACTGTTTTTTACCAAAAGGGGTGATTTGCAATGCTGGCTTTTTTTTTTTTTTTTTCTGTGGTGCATGAAAAGGGGTCCAAGACCTGTCAAACTCATCCTCGTGGGCACTCAGCACCTCACACAGAGGCCACAGCTTACAGGTCTCAGCCTCAGGGCAACGTGGGCTCCTCGGAGAAGACAAAATCCCCACCACTGGCTCTGCTGAGCTGTGATCCGCTCTGTTCAGCGAGGCTTTTCTGGGCTAAAAGTAGAGTAAAATCACAGTCCTTGCTCCAGCAACGCCAGTCCTTCAGTGGCTACACCAGTGAAACACTGGCCTTGGGTTTCGCTGCCTTGGTGGGACAGTGGCTCTGGCTGGGAGTCGTGGCCTTGCTGCTGGCAGTCGCCTTCCACGTGTGGGTTTGGAGTAGAAACCACCATATCACCCTGAGCTCCTGTTTCCAGTAGTCCTCTCCCATCCTAGCTCAGTTGTTTTTTAATGGGACTAGAGCTACTGAGCTCTAGCTGAGCCCCACATCACCTACCAGCTTCCTCAAACTGAGCAGTACTCCAGCTCAGCATCTCCTCTCTGCCAGTCCAGTCTGGTGTGCCTAAACCTCTTGCATCCCTCAAGAAATCCCTAGACCAAAGAGGCTGCTGTGACCCCATGGGGCAAGCTCTGAGCATGCCCCTGCCACACACCAGCTCCTGCAGCTGCGGGGTCTGTGCTGAGGAAACCAGCCACGCTCCTGTTGACTTTTCCTTTCCAGGTGTTGCAAGAAGAGGTCTGTCTTAGACACCTCCCCAGGGAACATCGCCCCACAAACTTCAAGCTCAGGATTAAACAGACGGAGGAGGGGAAGGAACCATGTTCCAGGCCACGGGACCCGCCAGCCCACCCCCAGCTCATGTACGTAGTGGTTTGCATGGGAATGCTGAATGGGTTTCGCTTCTCGGGGATGGAGGGTTGTGTATTCCAGACCTGACATTTTAGGGTGATCAAAGGCACAGTCACTGCTACTCAAACAACAAAACGGGGTCAGGAACGTTCCAGCAGAAGGTGCTGTTTGCTGAGCACACTGCTGCAGCAGCGTCCAGGCTCTGGGTCGCACGGAGCTGCTCCCCCTGCTCTCCCCTGAGCTGCACTCTGTTTGTTTGTGTTTCCATGGCTGTCTGCAAGCCCAGTTGAGAGCAGGCGAGCTGCTCGGGATCGGAGCGATCGGAGATGGAAAAACATAAAGGCTCAAGAACATCTCCTGCTGGGACAGGATATGGCCCTCCCCTGAGGGAGGATATATCAGATATGAAATAGATACTGTGCCTGATCGGAGCCAGAAGGCTGCCGAGAAGTGATGAGCAACAGTGGATCGCCCGTAGCCTTGGGAACGGATGTGTTCCTGCTCCAGAGAGGCAGCGTCTTCCTCAGCTCTGGTCAGCTGAGCTTGGCAAGAGAGCAGTAAACCCTAACCCCAGGAGAGCACCTGCGGTTGGGTTATCAGTGCCAAGGGATGCAACTGGTTTTACACGGCCCGAGGCTCCTCGCTGCCCGTGTCCCTCTGTTGACTTTGGCTTGTTCTTCCAGCCTTGTGGGAGGGAGAGAAAAATCACGTCCCTGACCTCAGTCAGTGAGAGCAGCTGGGAAACGTCTGAAGAGGCAGCTCGGCGAAGTGAGAGTTTCCTGTGCGTGTCTTAGACAAACTGTTTCCAAAAATACAAAGGAGAAACGATGGGGAAGGACAAAGCGGGAGGAACGGGGGTGGAAGAACAGCCCGAGGGGAGAGAAAGGGGCAGTGCTGGCCAGCAGAGCCAGAGCAGCAGCGAGGGGAAGGACAAGGGGACAGCCAGGTGACGTTTTGGGGTCACACCACCCCGGCTGTGGAGCAGACAATGCAGAGGGTGAGCTGGTCTGTTGGAATGGGGTTCTGGCAGGTCCACCTTGCCAAAGGTGTGCTGCAGGGGGGCTGGAAGCAGAGGGGAGCGTTTTCAGCAGTGCTGAGGTGGGCTGAGAGACGTGCAGGTGGCTGGCTGGCACCCAGTGGGTGCTTGTGCAAACAGGCAGCTTGGGGAGGGTGCTGGGCTGTGGGGCAAGGGTGGGGGGGAGCAGGAGGTGATTTGGGAGGAGATGAGTTGTTGCAGCTGCAGATGGGAGAGTGTGCAGGGACCCTGCTCCGAGAGCCTGCAGCTGCAAGGTCTGAGGAGCACCATGGAGAACACCATGGAGAGAATCCTCAGCCACGGAGCACATCTTCAGCTGTGGCTGTGCCCCGCTGCCCCCCTGCCCTCCCCACACACACACGGAGCCCGTGGGGACTCAGGAGCCTTTCTGGTCTCGCCTGCAGCGTTTCCTGTGCGGCGCAGCAGCACCAAGGGCTGATAACAGGGCTAGAGAGGAACTCAGCAGCAAAACATCCGCTGAGGGGGGCCCGGCACGACGTGCTCCCCGAGAGCGAGGGGCACCCCAGCTACGTCCTGGGGGCACGGGCAGCTTGGTGCCCTCCGCCTGCAGGCACACCCACGCTGGCAGGATTGCTGGAGCCCTGTGCACCTCTGGCATGAGAAGGGTTAATCACCACTCTGCAGCTCTGCGGGGTCAGTGGCTGTGGTGGGAAGGAGCAGGACAGCTCGAAGCTGTTAGGAGGTGCCTAAGCCAGCAGGTGACACGTTTGGGTGCAGGTCACAGAGGGGGTTTTGCCAGGGGCTGGGGCTGCAGCAGCTTGGTAAAGCCCTTCTCCTGTGTCCCAGGCAGAGGCCCCAGTGAGCAGTGCTGGAGGAGAGCTGGTCCTGTGCCCCACGGCCTTGCACAGCTCCTTCTCTGCAATACCTACATATCTTTCTTCTGTTTTCCTCTTCTCCTCTCTTTGGGAAAAGCACCACAGCAGAGGGCATAACTGGCACCTGAGGACCTGAAGGAGGTCATGGTCTCTGGTGGGGAGTCCAGAGATGGGCACCTCGTGTTGGTGACAGCCAGGCAGAGGCTGCTGATGTACCCCAAGGTCCTGCAGCTCAGCTGCCTGTACCCATCCTCTGCCGCTCCTCCTGAGGCACAACTCAGTGTGAACCTGTCAGGCCAGGCTCTCATTTTGATTTTTCTTCTCCTTCCCTCCTTAGGAGGCAAAAAACAACTCAGGAGGCAGCACAGTTCAGCGCTCCAAGGTACCTGCAGCTTTACCACATCCTACTGATTCATGGCGAGGGGGGAGTCCCAGCATGGTGGGGTTGGAAGGGACCTCTGGGGATCACCTCATCCACCCCCCCTGTTCCAGCAGCTCACCCACAGCAGGGTGCCCAGGGTCACAGCCAGGCAGGTTCGGAACCTCTACAGAGCAAGAGACTACACACACT